TCGATGATTGAGTTGATTTAAATAAAAAGGAATTATTATTTTATTTTAAATTAAATAGTTTTACAACCAAACCAGTAGTTTATCTGATGCCTTAATTTAAGTGAAATGTTACTTTCTTCACCCAAATGAATTCTAAAAATAAATTCAATTCTTTGTTGATTTCTTACTTGATTTAAAAATTTTAAACTCACTTTAGTGGAAATAGATTGATCATGTGGATCTTATATACATTGAGGATATTTGGCACGTGAGTTGTTCGTCCAGTTGAGGTATGAATTGAGGGCACGAGGTGCCGGGGAAACATGATGATTTAATTATGGGCATGAGGTGCCGTGGAAGAGTAAAAATGGGCTGAGATCCGTGTTTACGAAAAATATGAAAATGGGCTGAGACCCGTATTTTATTTATGATTATGAAATGAGGTGTCACATGGTGACTTTTTAATTGAAAGAATTATATTGAAAATATTTATTTGGAGGGAGTTTTATTCAAAAAAATTATATGAAGGAATTATTTGTGAAAGACATTTATTTGAAGGACTTGATTTAATTGGGTGTAATTATATTTATTAATTGTTGAGGTGTTGAGGAATATTAATGGTATTCTTTTTGTCTGTTGTGCGTATCACTGGTTGTTTTATCCTTCCCTTATTGTTATTTTTTACTAGTATTTTCTATATTATATTGCACAGGTTATTAGACTAGTGAGTGTCTTGACTGTACCTCGTCACTACTCCATTGACGTTAGTCTTGATACTTACTGGGCACCGTTGTGGTGTGCTCACTCTACACTTCTACACATTTTTGTGCAGAGCGAGGTATTAGAGGTATCGGACTTGAGCAGAGTTAAAGCATGATCGTAAAGATTCAAGGTAGAGCTGCTTAGCCGTCGCAGTCCCTTGGAGTCTTTTCATTTCATTGTACTGTTAATTTGTATTCAAACAGTATTGTATATTCAGTCTTCGTGATCATTCCATGTATTCAGTTAGAGTTCTTGACTCTGTACTACCAGTCTTGGGAGGTTGTATATTGTGATTATTTCCGCTGTTGGTTTAAAAAAATGGCTTCAAAAGGTTATTATAATCGGCTTACCTAGTCTTAGAGACTATGTGCCATCACGACGCCTGTGGTGGAATTTTGGGTCGTGACAAATGGACTCTGGAATGCCCGCATATCTTGAAAGATTGGAAAAGATATTTATCAAGCCCTCCGTTACTATCGATACCGTAGGAAGGCAAACAATTGCTAATTTACTTAGCTGTCTCAGAGGTTGCGGAAAGTGACGTTTTATTCCGCGAAGACGAAGGATTTGCATTGGCTCGGGGACTAGACCCCGAGGTCATTGAAATCAAATGTAATTCCCAACTGGTAGTAAATCAGGTATACAGGATATTCGACACCAAAGAGGACGCATGCAACAATATGTAGTAAAAGTCAAGACTTTGCTCGTACGGTTCAGGGAGTGGTCAATCACCCATATCCCTAGAGAAGAATACGTAAAAGCAGACACACTGGTTAATCTGGGCTCGTCCACGAAAATAAAAGGATCAGACTCCTGTATGGTCGTACAACTCATGCATTCGGTATTAGATGTGGACGGTTAGTATAAAGTAAATGCGACCAATTTGGTCAGGGACTGGAGAAATGAGATCATCGACTATCTTGAGCACGACAAACTACCCCAAGATATAAAAGTATCCCGGGCACTCCGTACCAAAGCAGCTCGTTACAGTTTCTAGGGAGGCCAGTTGTATAGAAAATCTTTCCAAGGCCCGTTGGTCTGATGTTTAGGAGCTTCCGAGGATAATTACACCATGAGAGAAGTTCACGAAGGAATCAGTGAAAATCACTCGGGTGCTGACTCATTAGTATTAAAGTTAATTAGGGGCATAATACTACTGGCCCCGGATGGAACAAGACACTATTGGTGCATCAACTGGCAGAACTATTGCATTTGGTATTGTCACCATGGCCATTCATGAAATCTAAGTGGGTTGAAGAAGGTCCTTACCAGAACATCAGCGAGCACGAAGTGCTCGATTTCCTGTGGGAGAACATAATTTGCAGGTTCGAAATACCAAAAGAAATAACTTGCGACAATGGGCCATAATTTATAGGCCCAAAGGTCACAAAATTTCTTGAAGACTTGAAAATCAAAAGAATCACATATTCTCCTTATCACCCGAGTGCAAATGGCCAAGCGGAATCGACAAATAAGGTGATTATTCAAAATCTCAAAAAGAGATTGGAAGCATCCAAAGACAAGTGGCCCGAAGAGTTACCGGAAGTGCTATGGGCATACCAAACGCCGGCTAAGTCTAGCACAGGAGAGACAACTTTCTCTCTAGTATACGGAGCATAAGCTCTGATCCCGGTGAAAGTGGGAGAACCTACCATAAGATACTTCCGGGCGGATGAGGAAGCAAACAACGAGGCGTTGCTGGTTAAATTGGAGTTGCTTGATGAATGCAGGAACTTAGCACACATAAGGATGGTAGCCGAGAAACAAAGAATGGAAAGATACTATAATCGAAGAGCCAACCTTTGTTACTTCAAAGTGTGAGACTTAGTTTTAAGAAAAGTGACTCAAAACACCCGAGGGCTCAATGCAGGGAAGCTGAGTCCGATATGGGAGGGTCCTTACGGGGTGTCAGCTGTCACCGGGAAAGGATCATATAAACTGGAAAATCAAAACGGAGTAAAATTGCCGAGAAACAGGAATGTGGCACACCTCAAAAGATACTATTGCTGATGAGCATATCCTGTACCGAAAGTATGTGTTGCACTCGTTTTCCCTTCGTCCAATTTTTATCCCAATTGAATTTTTCTGGCAAGGTTTTTAACGAGGCATCAACGAAAATCATACTACGAAGGAAGGCACGGAAACAACAAACCACTACGGGATGATTAGACAGTCTTTGGTTCGATAGCAAAGTTCCTAAAGGGAAACAAAGCTTGCTATCGGACCAAAAGCTACCCGACCATTCACGAGTGTCGCGTCACCACAAGCCTCTGGGGAGTGGTTAGATAATCTTTGGTTCGGTAGCAAAGTTCCTAACGGGAGATGAAGCTTGCTATCAGACTAAAAATTAACCAACCATTCACTAGAGGATCTTTTCAGAATACGGCAACCCGATTGCCATAAAAATCGGGACTACAAGATCCGGGAACAAGAATATATCATCGGGGACGGGGACTGCGCGACTAGCCCCGTAGAAACAAGTTGTACAAATTAGCCACAAGTAATGGAAATTTTTTTTCACCAAAACGAATGTTTATGTACATTTGAAGATAGAAGGAATAAAATAAAGTCCTTTTATTTTTATCTTGTTTCTTGTCCAACATATTTTTAATAAGATTTATGTCACTTTTGATCATTTTGGTACTCATTGATATGAGATACACGCGCAACGCGCGTGTCCAGAAATTAGTATAGAAATAAGAGACAATGATAGGGGCATGTAATATTGATTTTGATAAGAACACTTTTGAGAAGAAGACTTTCTCTCTTGCAAAAATACAAAGACTACCTTTTGATAAAGATTCTTGTTCATATTATTCCACCTTTCCACCAGATCCGAGGATTGTTCATACGAATCTTGGACCTATCTGTCATTCATCTTTGTTAGGAGAAATATTCGTTCAACCCACTCATTATTGGGTTAATCTTTCTCCTTATTTACTTCAATGTCATTTATTGCCATTTACTGTTAGTTATCTTTACATCAATATTCAGGCTTTGAGAATATTTTACATTTATTGTCTTCAATCATTCACGGGGTCTATCCCATCTACTGTACGTCTTCAAGATTAGTATCTAAAGTTATTATCCTTAACTAGACTTAACCTCTTGTTACATAAATTAAATAGTTTAACCGTAAGTTAAACTTTTTTTTCAAACAATATAGACACACGTGCAACGTTAAAAACGGACGTGGTGTTACAGGTTGTTTTTATTCACAAAGTTGTTAGTAATATTTTAAGAAAATAAAAGTTTATACAGTTGGTCTGGTTGATTGGGCCTGTATTCATTAACACCTTTGATTAATATTGCAGCTTGACCAGCAGAACGCCGGCCTACTGTGGCAATAGCAGGACAGAATTTCAGCGCGTTACCGTCCATTTCCATGGACTTTCTTATTCGCGCCTGCATTCATTGTGCAGTGAACTTGAACCCTCAATAGTATCTAGCAAAAGTCAGAAAGCCTGCGGGGAATTTCAAAGTCAATGATTCTGAAAAATGCCAAATATATGAAAGTGGACTTTTCTTAATATCAGGTCAGCCAAAAGTGGCTAAGTTCTCCTTATTATATCCTGATCACAAGTTTTGCGCTAACCAATAACCATGGTCACATTTCAGTAGCGTGAAACTAAAGAAATCACTTCATTCCAAAAGAAGTAAATACTACCAATCAATTTATCTAATTTTCAGTCTGATATTCAATAATAATTTGTTACTATTTTGGAAATTGAGAAATTGCATACCAAATTACTATGTAAAGATTTTATAGATAAAAATACTTCAATTATTTAGCAAAACAAAAGGTATCTAATGAAAAAATTGTCCCTAAATAACTGTTCGATGCAGGGACCATGGGCAAAGCCACCTTTTGCTAAGGGTGGTGACCATCCTTCATTGAAATATTACAAAAATTATGTATATAAGTAAAACATTGACTTTAGATATATATAACATATATTGAACATGTTTTGACAGAATTTTTTTTTGCTTTTTTTAAATCTGAATACCTTGGAAAAATTTCTCGGTTGGCCGCTGCCAAGGATGTACAAATATATGGGAATCTAAGATTTGAATTTGATGAATTCGACTTCAAATTTTTTAGCACTGGACTTATTGATCTACTCTTAAAATTATAAGCTCATAACATGATGATATAAGGTGGGAAACCAAATCCTTCTGATATGACATCGTCCCTCAAATCTCAAGCAAACCTCTCTGGCCTATTCCACACTAGTTTTTGGAACTGGATAACCTATAANGTTGGGCCCGCCAGGCCCGCCAGGACCGGCCCAGGCCCGCCTGCCGGTCCCGGGCCAAACGGTCCCGGGCTCGTGGGCTCAACCATGGAGACCAGCCCGTGACGGGCTCAGAGGCCCACCAAGACCGGCCCACCCAGGACCGGCCCACCAGGCCCACCAGGCCCGTTAGGACCGCGGGCCCGGTCCGGTCCGGTTCAGGCCCGGCCCACCGAGCAGCATTAATAAAGAGATATTGGCTCACTTTTTTCTTACTCAACTGCAAATTATATTGTTTTATTTCCAAATATATATGTCGAATGGTGTCAAATACATAAAAACAATCAATTTGAAATAACAATCTAGTAACGAATAACAATCTTGATAACAATAGAATCCATCAATCAGATTTATTTGAGTAAAAGGTAAAGAGTTATGTATTTATATGAGGCATGAGAATATTTGTACTTTAAACTAGATCTTTTTAAACTCCATGTTCATCATAATTTTGAACTCATCAAAGTTAAGAACTCCATCACCATCAAGATCAAATCTTTGAATCATAGATTTGCAATTATCAACAGAGGTAGACTCACCAAGTTTACTCAACATCCTCTTCAAACTCTTAGGAGTAATTTGACCAGTTCCTTCCATTTCATACATCTCAAAAGCTCCTCTTAACTCACTCTCCTTATTCTTTTCCTCGACGTCACTTCCTTCCATTAATTTACTAAAATCCTCTAACCCTAACATCCCATCTCCGTCTGAATCCGATAGCCTCACCGCCATCTCCGCCTCCTCCTCCGTCAGCTCCCCTCCTACCGCCCTCACGCACCGCTGTAGCTCCGCTGGCGACACTTTTCCATCTCCGTCCTCGTCAAAGTACGTAAATACCCTCTCTAAATGATCACTATTTTCATTACTAGTATTGATTATACTCACAGAAAGAGTACTAGTACTGGCCGTCTGATCAATAACCTCATCGTCCTTGATTATGATCGGCTTTTTGGGTGAAAATCTATTCCTTAATCTTGAAAAAACAGACTTGTTATTTTCTGCAGAGCTAGAAGTAGTCTCCATGCACATGCTATATGCAAACTCCGACCTTAGTATCGTAAAAACAAAAACTAGCTAATTTGTAATATGAGAAGCAGAATATGATAATTAAGTGTATAACGGGTTAGTTGGACTTGACCAAGAAAAGTTTGGAATTTTTTGTGCTAGAGATGGTTGTTGCATGAAAATAACCATTGGTATTGGATGAAGGAAGAGGAAGAATTGGGTTATATATAGCAAATATAAATAGTTTAAGGGCTGAGAAAGCGATGGGCATAAAAAATTAAAGAAGTAGTAATGGGGAAAAGGTTAGTTAATGGCGGTTGGAAGTCGGCTTTCCGTGGGATTTGCGCGTACGGAAGCTTCGTAGTGGGTTTCAGTAATGAATATGTGTCAATTTCGTTGCCTTTTCTTTTTTAGGGTTCTCAAAAGTCAAAAGTAAACGCCAAATGCGGGGGAAGATATCTAATGATAATAATATTCTTACAATATAAAGAATTTAGTGAAATTTATTGGGTAGAATAAGTTATCATTTTAGTTTCTAGGTTGATTTTAGTTTAAATATACACTGATATTGCAAAAACAATACTAGTACTAATATTAGACTATTATGTTAACTAAGAGATAACTATAATATTTATAAATGAGATTGGTAACCTAAAAAAGGAATCATGTATTTGTTACAATAATTTTGAGCATACTAATAGTAAAAATTTCTGATAGTATTTTGTATATAAATTAAATCGTTTCCAACATCTTTTTCCAACTTGTACCTATCACACTTGATTTGAGAACCACAGGAGAATGAGGTTCTTTCCTTTACCGATACTATTTTTTGCGTCTTTTTTTTTCGGGAACTTACGAGATGCTATTTTTCTAGGGTGTCCGACTCTTCAATCAAAAAAAGAGGGTTCATGTGCGAGTCGGCTGAGGAAACACAAGCTTAACACGTCGTTCTTTATCTTTTCATATTTGAATATCTTCGTCGATTTGGATGGCATCATTTGCTCCTTTCCGTCTTTTCTTGTCTGCTTCCGCTCGAACAGATACGCAGCAATCCACCTGAAATAAAGTAATTTTCATGGTACAAATGCTGAAAAACTTGTTTATATTGTCTTAGATACTTAACTTGTAGTGTAAAAAACTAACACTGCTACAAACTTAAATTCATAATAATGAAGGAATGGGAAAGATATGATAATCTTGTGAGCAAGTTAAATTAAAGTTGGCTTGTGGCTTTCCAAACAAGCTCTTAAAAGTAGAAACAGGGCTTCACTTTTCTTTTGCGGGGTTGGGATGAGGGACGGGCGGATATGTTTTTCCTTGATATTAGATTGTGGTGCGGACGCGTATGTTGAAAGTTACATATCTTAGATATTTGCCTATCATAATATTAATATATATGTCACGACATGTTACATGAAACTTTTAATATAGTAAGTCCTGTCTAAATATTTGTTCTCTTCCTCAATTTAACGTTGTTAAAAATACCTTTGGAGTACGGAACGTTGGGGATTTGGACCTTGATAGTTTTCTTATAAAGAAAGTAGCTAGCTGTTAGCCCCTAATGTTAGACGTGACGAATGTCGGGCAGAACCAATGTCAAGTGTTTGTACATTGTCCCTTGGCATGGGTTCGTGCGGGCGTTGACAAGCAATGTGCGGAGCTGGGAGCGTGCCTAAGTTAGTGCATGGACTTGGGTAGGTCAGCAACTAACTTAGCCTTGCCTAAGCAATGTGCGGATATGTGGGAGAAACTCCATAAAGAAATGGAAGACCACTTTTTACCTAGCAACGCATCTTGTCTTGCTAGGGATGGCCTTAAACGTCTACAGCAAATCGGAACGGTTCATGACTATATTAAGGAGTTCACTTCCTTAATGTTGGACATACAGAACATGTCGGAGCATGACAAGTTGCATAATTTTATTTCTGGTATGCAAGCATGGGCGCAGAACGAACTTAGGAGGTAGAACGTGAAGGACCCCTCGAGTGCGATTGCTGTAACGGACTCATTGGTGGATTACCGCAGTACCTGAAGTCTTTCTGAAGTTCCTTCTTCTTCAAAAACTAAGAAAAAGGTAGAGAAGAAAGGGGAATGGAAGAAGGAAGTTCGAAAACTATCTGCTAGAAACAAAGGCAATGCCAACAAAAAGGGCGATGATTGCTGGACTTGCGGCTCACCTCATATTGCCAAAAATTGCTCAAATCGGGAATGAGTTAATGCTTTGCTTGCTACAGAAAATAATCGGGAAGGAGAAGGTAAAGAAGTTGCTGCCTTGGTAAATCCTTTGCAATTGTTGAATTCCATTTCGTTGCTTAATGCTACAAGCGACGAGATCAACCCTCATTCTTTATTGATGCACATTGAAATGAAAATTGGAGAGAAAGGTATGATAGCAATGGTGGATATTAGAGCTACTCACACCTTTGTCTCGGCAAAATTGGTGCATAAGTATGGGTTGAATGTGAGCAAGTGTCCCTCTTACATAAAGAATATGAATGCTAAAGCCCATGCCATTGAAGGTATGGCTTACAATGTTCCTATGTCTGTTAGGAACTAGAAAGGGAAAATTAACCTGATGGTGATTCCACTAGAGGACTTTGAGGTAATCCTTGAAATCGACTTTATGCAGAAAAATCACTTTGTTCCAATACCTCACTTGTACAGAGTGATGATTATGCATCAAATGGCTCCTGGTTTTGTGAAAGTTGTTCATCCTTATGGGAAAGAAGAAACTCAATGGAGGGCTTCATTAGTTTCTGTCATGATGGTCGAAAAAGGTCTGAAAAGGGGAGATGATACTTTCCTTGCTGCTATGGTTGAGGTGAAGCCCGATGTGAAGGTTGAAGTATTGGACTGTGTCGCTCCAATATTGAGTGACTTTGCTGATGTGATGCCACTATAATTTCCTAAGAATTTACCACCATGGAGGGCTATTGATCACAAGATAGAGTTGTTGTCGGGTTCAATGCCTCCTGCTCAACTTCCTTATCGGATGGCACCAAAAGAGTTGGCTAAATTACGGAAACAATTGAATGAGTTTCTCGATATAGGACTGATTCAGACATCAAAAGCTTTGTTTGGTGCACCTATTTTATTTCAAAAGAAACAGGATGGGACGCTTCGGATGTATGTTGATTATCGGGCGTTGAACAAAGTGACTTTGAAGAACAAATATCCAGTGCCGTTAGTGCAAGACATGATGGACAGATAGAGCAAGGCTTGTTGGTTCACGAAGCTTGACTTAAGGTCAGGTTATTAGCAGGTACAAATAGCTGAAGGTCATGAGTCTAAAACTACATGTATTACGAGGTATGGCTCATATGAATTCCTTGTTATGCCGTTCGGGTTGACAAATACCCATGCTACTTTTTGCAACCTGATGAATGTTGTATTGTATGAATACTTGGATGACTTTATCGTTGTCCACTTAGACGGCATCATCATCTATAGCCGGACTTTGGATGAACATATGTCACACTTAATTAAGGTGATGTCTCATTTGAAGGAGTGCCAGCTGTATGTGAAAATGGAAAAGTGTGAGTTTGCTAGACAAGAGATCAAATTTCTTGGGCACTTGGTAAGCCAGAATCAGGTGCGGATGGACCCGAAAAAGGTGCAAGTCATTGTGGAGTGGCAGGCGCCTAATTCTGTGAAAGAATTGAGATCTTTCCTTGGGTTAGCAAATTATTATCGAAAATTCATTGATGGCTATTCAAAAAAAGATGCTCCTTTGACTGATTTGTTGAAGAAGAATGGTAGGTGGGCATGGACTGAAAAATGCAGTGGTTCATTTGACATGTTGAAAGAAGTTATTGCCTCAGAACCTATCTTGCGGATTTCATATTTTGAACTGCCCTTTGAAGCTCATACTGATGCTTCTGACAAGGCTGTTGGAGGTGTATTGGTACAAGAAGGCCACCCAGTGGCGTTTGAAAGCAGAAAAATGAATGAAGCAGAGCAAAGATATTCGACTCATGAAGAAGAAATGGTTGTTGTAATCCACTGCTTGCAGATTTGGCAGGTGTACTTGGTGGGAACTAAATTCATTGTGAGGACGAATAATATGGCTAATACATTTTTCAAGACACAGAAAAAGCTAAGTTCGAAGCAGGCACATTGGCAAGAATTTTTGGAAGAATATGATTTTATTTGGGAGCACAAGCCAAGAAGACACAACCAAGTTGCTGACGCATTGAGTCGAAAATAGGTTTTTGCTGCTGGTTATTTCATTACTCGACTTGAATATGATTTTCTTGATACAATCAAGTCTTGTGCTTCTAATGATCCATTGTACATCAAGACAATGAATCATGTGAGAGAAGGGACGGTAAGGCGGTACTGGATCAAGGACGGTCTCCTCTATTTCAAAAGGGGGAGAATCGTAGTGCCACTTGGTGATGGGTTGAGTTGTGAACTGTTGAAGGAGAAGCATGATACTCCATGGGCTGGTCATTTCGGAATTAGTAGGATGATGGCTGTACTGTCTCGATACTACTTTTGGCCTAAGATGGAGCATGATGTGGAAGCTTATGTAAAGAGTTGCCTTATGTGTCAGCTTGATAAAACTGAGCAGAAGAAGGAGGCAGGTTTGCTACAATCTCTGCCTATTCCAAAAGAACCATGGCAATCTGTTTCGATGGACTTTATCAACGGGTTCCCTAAGGTCAATGGTTTGTGATCGATCATGGTTGTGGTTGACAGGTTTTCTAAATATGTTGTTTTTATTGCTGCCCCTACAGAATTTCCTTCAAAGGTTGCTGCTGAATTGTTCTTGAAGAATGTGGTTAAATATTTAGGAATGCCAAAGGATATTATTAGTGATAGGGAGGCTTGATTTACAGGGCAGTTTTGGACTTATTTGTTCAACTTGATGGGTACGAACTTATGGTTTTCAACGGTGAATCATCCCCAAACTGATGGCCAAACTGAGAGAATTAACAATTTGTTGGAGGAATATTTGAGTCACTTTGTGACAGCTAGTCAACGCAACTTGACATATTTGCTAGATTGTGCACAATTCTCCTATAATTTGCACAAGTGTTCAGCAACGAAGATGAGTCTGTTTGAGATTATTTTGGGGAAGTAGCCTGCACAACCAACGGAGATTGCACAACAAAAGACTGGGGGTAAATGTCCAGCTTCCTACCGTTATGGTTGGGATAGACAAGCTATGATCAAGGAAGCAACAGATAGCTTGACAAAGGCTGAGAAACG